TACCCAAAATTGTTAAAACGGTAACAAAAAGTTGCCGACGATCTAAAAGAGGCGTTGCAGTGTATGGGCTTTCTGCAAATGGTAGGCATGGCCAACACATAATCATAGCAAGCAATGCATAATGTAATCCACTTAGGCTTTTTGATCGCTTTCCGATGGCGAAAAACGTGGTCTCTCAATGATTTGCCCTCAAAGAACCAGGAAGAACAGTTTAGATCCACATATTTTAATTGAAATCCTGCTTCTTTCCGTGGTCTTTGTAGCTGATTTGTCTCGAGTTCTATAGGATCTTTCAATTTGAGAAAAAAAATCAGGAAAAAAAAACCTGGAAACCAGCGAATTTTTCAAGTTCGTTGTACAGAGGTTTAATGACAATCGAATAATTTAAAATCTAGCTACAAAAATGTTGAAGTGCTTTCGTCAGAAGCTTTGGTGGGCAACTTAGCCATTGATATATTTTGATCACAGAACAAATTTCTTTCTCTTACAAGAAAGGAATAATTTTTCAAGTCATATAATGACCATAAAACGCTATAGTGCCTGGACTACAAATATTTAACACTTTGAGGAAGAGGTAAGTACCCTTTGAGATAAGTGTATGGAGTATTAGAAAATACGCTATCATCCAGTTGTCAACCTAGTGGTTTGACATCTTAAGAACAATGCCAAGTATCAAAACTAGCAAGTAACGAAAACAGGTTATTTAGTCAGCTGTGCGTTGTGAATATGTTTCCAATAATGATAGATAGCACCGTTATCTTGTATCTATTCAACTTACTTAGAACATTTTTTCGTTAGAAGAGCGTAATCGTGATAAGATTAGGTGTCACATCTCATGCATCAATTGAAGAGGCCATCACATTCATACGATGAGGATGCCACAGGCTGTATCTACGAAGTTCTTGAGGTTGGTATTCGCTACTATTTTATTTGTTTATAGGCGATATCCTCAGCTTGTCCCTAGTCCTCTCAAAACTGTAATTGTGGAAGGGTCAGTCCGCCCATCTTTCGATAAACTTGTAGCTTTTTTTAACAAAGAATTTGAATTGTCTTTGAGAAAATGGAAAAGAATATAAAAAAGAACTCTCGTCTTCTTGTAATTGTCAATGAGATTCATCAACCTTATAGAAGATGATTACTTCGCGCGACAAATCAACGAGAACACCGTCTTCCTCGCCTCCTCCTGCCTCGACTCCGTCACCCATTGGCGAGTGTTCCAATCTTGGTGAGCCAATTATTTTGATTGCTTCGCCCCTTTTCACCAGTGGATTTGAGTTCGCACTTCAAGCTCCGCTCTTCAGTTGTGCGATAGTGAGCTGCTGTAAAGTACAATCGCATATGCTGTTTTTATAATTCATAACGTGCCAGTCATAGCATTGCTGAAGAGGCGTCATTGCATCGTCGTATTGAAAGCAAATCGTCATGCTGCGACCTCGGTCGGCTAGCTCTTTCAGGACAGATCAAATCCTGGCATGAAAACGAAATGTAGTCCCGGACTTACTGGAGTTTTCAAGTTTTTTTACGGGGTCACCGCGATAACCCATTTCACTTTTTTTCATATTTCTCCAACTGCCATCAGCTTTGCTGCTGTCTTTCCCGCAACGAGGAATCACCTGTGTGGTGATCGGTACAATGCGGGTACTGTTCCTTGATAAGCAGTCATTTAGAATGTGATTAGTTATTGAAGCTTTGGAAGGCCTTCTCGCATGCAAGTGGGCTTGAAGTCCACATTTAAACCTAGCGTGACGCAAAACACATAGTGTCGACCACATCACCCATGGCTGATGAGTCGGTCGCGGTCACGGCAGAAGGACATCCTTGACTGCTCGTGGCTGGAAATAAACTATGAAAGCAGCTTTGGCGATGCAGAAAATGATAAGTGCGAGTAATCTGTGAAATATAGGGAATCTGCTTTTATGATACATTAGTGTAAAAGAACCTACTGATCTTTGCATTTATTTTTAGATTTGAATCAACTAAATGGATCCGTCAAAAGAAGGTTGTCCTTTAGCCCCACCATGCAAGAGAGCGAGCGGGGATCTAATGCGGTGAGAACATGGTTTAATATAGCCGCAATATTCTTATTTTTTCCTCAATGTTAAACAATCGGAAAAAATTGTTAAGGAGAACGAGGCTCCTTTTGTGCCCAAATTGGACTTCTCACTACTATCATCCATCGAACACTCGTCACCACCGATACCAACTATTACCCATATGGACTCCAACGCTTTTGAACGCTCTCTGAGACTCGGATCGCAATGCCATCGGTGCCCTCCTCGTGAAGGTTCTCTTAATGCCTCTGATTTTGTGTATTTAATCATTTTCGGTATCATAACCTCTTTAATTGTTTACTATCTTCATATGCCTCCTCTCCATAAGGGTCCAGTATATTGATCTCACTGACTCACTTGGGATTGAATTAATCCTTTTGGGTTTGTTAGTTGAACCATTGTTTTAATGATTGTAATTCGTAATATTAACGGTATTCAAACCCGTTCTGAAGGGTTTTGGGTTTTGCATGGTTGATTATCGACTGGGCTCACGTTACAGATCCCGGTTCAGTTTGCAACACCATGTGAGGGCAGCTACAATAACAGCTTTTCATATATCCTCATGTTATGTGCATTTCAATGAAGGAAACTAACCCCTTTGCTCCTAGTCATATCGGTTGGGGTAAAGGTGGGCTATTTTGCTGTTTCAGCGATTCCGCTTCTCGCTCTGCTCTGAAGTGTAATTAATGAACTCATGAGCAGTTGCTCAAGACCTTGATCTTACCTCAACCCGGTAATCAAATAGCCGTGTTCAATACAAGAACACAAGCCTAGCTTACACTTTTCTAAAAGAAAAATGGCTATGTCGCGTGCCAAATCTCACCTTCAAAGCGTAGCGTGCTATTTTGACAAGGTAGATGGCTAATAGGAACATTTGTTTAATTGTCATTTGACCAATTTTTTTCATACACATGCTTGTAAGGTTTTGAGATTATCTTTTAGAAGTGTTACATATATTGTTTGTAATGGCTAGAGAATTTCACATGAAATTGACATGCTTGTTTCATAACTGTTGATGTAGTGATAGTTTTGACGTCCGCTTTTCATAAGCGCTATAAATATTATGAAAGTCTAAGTTGACTATTGTTGATTGCTCTACTAACTTAGGAAATCATCTACAACACCAGCATTACTGTAAGTTATTACCGCTTGAGTAGGTTCGTCAGAATGATAAGGAGTCTATGGGCAAACTGATGTTATTACACCGCTGCTCTAGGCATTTGTTTTAAAAGTAGATATCCATAGCACTGTTTTATTCGAGACCTTTTATACAAATGCATTACCCTAGTAAATGGATCGTACCCTCAACAGAATGATGGAATACACCTGTAGATGCACCGTACAAGGATTCTAAGTGCTAGTGCTGGATAGTGAAGGAGAAGGAATGGAGCTACAAGAAAGTTTTAAAGCCTAAAAGCTCTGCGATAACAACGTGTCATAGGAGCAGAAACTTCAAAGGAAGTAATAAAATGGCTAGCGAAAAAAGACGGCTGAAAATCTGCTTCAAAAGGCTTCATTGGGAGGAGAAATAAGTTACGGAGTAAACATATTGTGTTGCCTATAAACAAGATAGAGAATAATTGGAGGCTACAAAAGAAATGATCTAAGCGTTATGTCCAAGAGATGCTCTCACTTGAAGTATAACAAAGTAACAAAATTGTTTAGTAGCATTAAAAAAAGCAGAGAGTTTCCTATTCATTCGAGTTTTTTGAATTTTTGAGTAAAGCTTGTAAAATGAGATCCGGAACATCCATAGTTTGATCTTCGACAAGCACTATATCGAATCCCTCTAGGTAAGAGTCCAAGAGCTCGTCAACCTTTAAAATCTTTCATAGAAGTTGAAAAGACACAGAAGGAGGACAAAACTTTCTCCTTGACATAGTGAGAAGTCAGGCTTCCAAAGTCATTATCTACCGCTTACCCTGCTATTCAGGAAACCAATCTTAAGCACAGTTCCGCTATGAGCGACTCCGACATCCATGTGTAAATCACCAAGACTGTCTCCGAGCAGTATTATGTTACCACTAAATACAGTAATTTAGGCACTGCTCGAAGAAATTGAGTGCTTTTAAATACCGGTGTGCGATATCATCGTAGAAGGGAGCGTTCTTGGGAATGACTGAGGCATCCTTGCAAAAAACGTGAATCAACGGTTCTGAACAGGCACAGACAACGCCCTGGAATAACGAGGTTAGAAATGTATCGTTAGTAGTTCGCATTTTGTTCTATTTTTTAGCGTAAGAAAAAAGGATATAAACCTCACCTCGTCATTAAATATCAGCATATTCGATATGATATGAATGTTGTCCGGAATATAGCCCAGTTGGTCTCGAAGAAAGATGTCGATGACATTGCCTACGCCGGCCGAAAACAGAAGTAGAGGAATGGAAGAACTAGCAAGATGCCTGACAAGAGCATCAGCTCCGTCTCTGAAACCATTTGCCATTTTCTCGTGGTTCTTGTTCTCGTAGTATAAATGATTATGAATGATAACTTACCTTAATTCAATTTTAGCATTCACGACAAATTGTTCAATCTCTTCGCGATGGATTCGAAAAGCGATATATTTCTCGTGAGCTTTCGTCCACCTCAAAAGGGCTAGTGCTAATGAATGAGTGATATCTAGTGTCTTACTATCCTTACCATTCTATCATATACGGCAACTTTTCCTCTTTTGTTAGCCCTGGATCATATTCTATAGCTAAATATTTTGAATTCGTAGCATGAATCTGCAATCAAAGGTAAAGACGGTTATTGAAGGATAACTATCCATGTACGAATATCAGCGACAATAGATATCAGCGCTAGTTTGAATATTATAAAGTAAGTAAAGTAGTTCGGGGAGGACTGAGGCGTGGCTAGCCGCTCACAATGATTATCTAGCTAAGTGCCGTTTGGGAGCCACTGCGCCATCACTCCAACTACGCTCAAGCACAAACTACGAATTCTTATTCGATAAAAATAGTAGAAAAGACTGAGCAAGAAATGAACTCTTTTTGATGCCCTTCAAACGTCGTGAAGCTTTTCGTCTACCTATAACGACAGCCAAGATAAAACAGTGTAATAAAACATACAACAGGGTGACGCTTTTTCTCCTCACTGTGTTACATGAATCCGCTGAGACTCATTGAGCCAAAGATTGAGGTACTGACAATGAGTTGTAACTACTTCGTTAGAGCGACAGTTATGTGTAAAGCAAACCTCTTCCGTGAGTTCGGGATGTAGCGTATACAGAAGCTGATTCAGGACGTTGTGACTGCTAAAGCATGGCACACCGTCGTGGTCGATAGAACGTGTCAAAGTAAAGTCAAAGTCCGATATGACCTAAACAACGAAAATCATAATCAGTCTCTTGTAAAATAATCAAAAGAGAAGCTCACTCCTAACTGATCATTTCCTCCCTTCAGAATGGCATCGAGTTTCTTCTTAACAACGTTCTCGTCACGAACTCTAACACTGCGATGGCTCAATATGGATTCTATTGTCTTTTCCATTTCTGAACATCATTGTCTTCTTTCAAAGGGAGTCTATGAGGGGATTGCCTTTGTATCGACTTTATGACGCCGTCGTAAAGTCGGTACTTTTCAGTATCATAAGATAAGGCTGCTATTTACGAAACCATTCTCGTCCAAGCCGAAACTTGAAACTGATAGTGTAAAAAAGACAAACTCTTGATAAATACACAATCAAAGAGTTTACTGACCTAGAAACTTGCAAATAAGTTAGTAAATGAAATTGTTAAATAATGTGATCTATCTGAAAAGCAGAAATCAATAAAATAAACCACATGACATGCTAATAACAACAATTTATTGGACTTAAAATAGCGCACAACACGCAAGTTACCACATAGTTTTATGGATCAAGTATCTTCCGGACAAATGTCAATGAAATAATACTCATTTGCAATGGAATAAAGAAAAAAAAAGCAAGAATATACAGTTCATTTGTAACCTGTATGTCTGCATAGACGCATGACTGAGGAGAGACGGGATCAGCGGTTAAATATTTCGGCTCACTGCAACAACGAACTGATCCCGCCGTTCATCTGCGCTTTGCAGGCCCACTAGGTTTCAAATGAACGACAGAATGTGGTCTTAAAGTAGATATAATATCAAAAATGTTACAAGTCTCATGATACAGAATAAAATATAGTAATAAAAATGCACCGATCAACAAACATGAATGGAAACACACTGGTGAGCTCCTATCCGATCCTTATGTCATTCATTCACTTCAGAGATGCTGTTGTGTCTTTCATGAAAAGTCTCAGTTAAATCAAAGTACCCTTTAAGTAATAAGCCTGGTAATGTATGAAGAGTACCCGCAAATCTTGACGTTTATGCAACGCGCAAACTACTATATGTATGTACGAATATGGAATAATTAAGAACAGCTGAACATTAATTCCGTATTCAAGAAAAGTAAGAACCCATCTAGCAAAAATCATACGAAGCTCTTAGGTCCTTGAACTTTTCGATATTCGCCTGTGGGCCGTTCTCGGAACACTTTCTAAAAAAGCTACCCATTGGTGGTGGTCCATTATTTCAAAGACACAAACACAAGAACTCACTTATAGAAAAGCACAGCACCAGTCATATCCTCAGGTCTACTCATGTTGCTCACTTGTTGCTCGAAAATTAGCAGAGGTGGTTCAATCAACCTACGTTTTCGTTCCACGGTTTTCTGTAACATTTTCGATATTCAACGATTCTTACATGGAATCGTGTGTAGCTATAGGCGCTCAAATAATTCAAACCAAACTCTGATGAAAACCCGCCCGAGAAAAGCTCAGTAAGCCAACTTAATGTGATATTAAACGCATTTTTTGAACCGCGCGAGTCTAGAGCTTTCACATAAAGGGAAATCTCTCAAGAAATCTGCGGTCCTATATTAAGTTGTAAATAACTTACTACAGGGGGCATGGCAGGCTCCTTCTTATGAAGGACTGAGAACAACTGTGCTTCCATTTTGTCTTCTTCCTGATCGGCTTCTGTTGGCTCAACGAATTCATCGTCAGTTTCGATATCCTTCAAAGTGAAATACAGATTTTTTAGAATGTTCATGATCTACAATATTACGGTTGATTGCCTAGAGGGGATCACCCCTATGTTGGACATTTCGGAAGGGATCCTCGTGGCACGGCCGAAGGAAAGAACCAAGATTTACGCCAAAAAGTGCTCAAAACATCGAGACCTTCTAGAAGCCGCCAATGATTCCGTCCATTGAATGGGTCGTTCTTTTGTAACAACCGTCCCTCCACCTTTACCCATTGCTCTAAGCTACTGCTAAAATACTGTGCAGGATCACTTGTTTAGATCACAGAAAAGAATAAAATTTGCCCGTAACCCTCCACTCCTTAAAAACGCATTTTGCAACTGGAAATGCCGGAACTACAGCAAAAAGTATACAGTAAACTACCTCGAAGCCCTTATTACAGTAATAAAAATGTTGAGCCATGCGATTGCCATTTCGTGTGCGCATTCCGCATTTGCAGCAGAATCGCAGTCCTCGGAGACTACACTGTATCGCATCGATGCCTCTGCGAACAGAGGTATCAGTAGCTGAGCGGCGTTTTCCTGAAAGAAAGTGTTTATGTTATTCGAAGCCATGTGCTCTATATTTCTCAACATTACAGAACAACTTCAAAGACTGCAAGATATAGAAAAGACGCAGGAAAACGAGCACAGACCACGCACATAACTTACCGTATAAGCTTTCGTTGAAAGCCAGCGTGACGCATGCGATACACTTCTTCGAAGGATTACTATAAGAGCTGTTGATGCATTGTTTACACTGGTACTGCGGCTTCTGTTCTTGACATACCAACCGACTTCGCTGGCGAGAACGAGTTTCCGGGTTCTGAGGAAAGGATAATATGAGTGAACATAATCGAAGAAAAAAAAAACTGAAGATCAGACAAAAACGGATCTTTACCCTGTACGTCAGCGTCCATTTCGGGTTTACTGCCGAGTGTTCCCTTCGATGCTTCTGCTTATCAGCGATGTTCGAAAAAGATAATGCACAATGATCGCACCCCAAACGAGACTCTAAAATCAAAAACCAAAATCCAACTCTCTGAAAGAATAGCTGCCAGACTGAGCAAATCACCTGACTCATGACTAATCATGTGATTAACAAACTCCGATACTCGTATAACCGGCCGCTTTCTTTGGTATGATGGGACAACCAACGTGAACGTGCAGAACGGGCACATAAGCGTGCTAAAAATCGTACAGTAGCCTGTTACACCAGGTGAACATTAAGAAAACGAAATACTTGTTATCATATGATTTGGCTCACGCATAACGTTCAAAAAGTTTTCGAATGCATCAAGTTAATGCAAAAGTTTTGAGACATAAATTCAGATGTATCATTCTGAAACTGTGCCGCAATAAGACCAGAACCACGTTTTGGACAATCTCAGGCTTCTTTTAAAACAATTTCATAGTCCCCTTCACTGCCTGCAACATTCACATAGTTCTCGAGCGCTTTCCTCGTAAACAATGTCGCAATCAGGAAGAGATCAGAAAGGAGCGTTCCCATTCGTTTTCTACGAGCACCTACGCTGCTCCGCTGCCCACGTCTTTGACTCCGGCATCAACACTGCATTCGGAGTGGATTTGGCCAGTAGCGCGACCGTTAGTCGTTTATTCGCTCGCCTTCATTCACAGATACGACGCTCGGCGATGATCCTCGTTTGGCCTACCGGTGGTTATGGGTGATAACCGACCTTCCAACGAAGTTTGGAAGAAGCCTAAGTTACGAGCAGGCTAATGACGAGGCTGTGAGTGACTTTGTATCACTCCTTCAGAACACGGTCAAATTCCATCACACGCGTATCTCAATCAGCCAATCGCTTAACTTCACCTTCAACCTCAAGGAGTTTTCGCGCGACGGGGTGAAGGGAATTGAAAGCTGGATCCCCTGTGACAACACGCCTTTTGCCTGTCTTCTAAGTCTTAGCCAGAACAGCACACAAAGTAGGACTTGCTGCAGTGCTTTTACGACCTGAAAAAAGAATGCTTTCTCATGTGTTGTTCCACCGAGGCTAGACAATCACGGCTACCATTCAAGCTCGCGGTACTCGCTCATGCAGTCGAAGGAAATTGACCGTGAAGAGTTTTTATCCATCTCCGTACGATAGTGCTCAGCTTCATATTGCGAAGGCCACAAGTTCAATTACGAAATGTGACAGGAATACCGTTATCTACTCTCCCTACTTCCCCGACCTCGTCTCTTCCGACTATCTCCTTTTAGGCACGTCAAGAAGTCCCTGGTCAAAGAGAACCTGGTCACTCTTGGTAACCTGAAAAAACTGTGAATACCTTCCTGTTCCCTCACAGCCTTCCTGCTTCTTGGAAGAGTACTTATCTGAATTGCTCTCATCGGATGTATGTTATAGAAAATGATCATGATTATACTTCAATTAGTGTTTAAGTGAAATGCAAAATAAATCGAAAATGCGCATTTGAGTGTCTTTGAACTTTCGCATCTACCTGATAGTTCTTTTGACGAAATAGCGCTTTTCAAATTTACACAAGGGCAAATTTTTAGAGGACATATTCAAAATGTCAACAGATTTACTTTTGTTAAATACCTCCTGCGTGAATTTTCATTAGGTTCAATTATTGACATCTAACCTGGTAGTTAAATTTCGGTCTAAGTTAATGTTTCGTTACGTTATCGCTGTTCATTGTATGTTAGTCTGATTTTTTTTCGGAGGTTCAGCCCACAAGGAAATGAAGGTTACGGCTATACTTAAAGGTTTCCCTGAACCATTACAAAGAAGATTTTTGAATTAGTGCTATATAAAAATCGAGTGGACCACCCCTCTGACCATCTCGGCTGCTTAACCGACAGAAAGAAAATATCACGATTCCAACTATAAGCAGTCTCCGGTGTGAAAAGGTGTTTGGATCGAGAACAATCACTAAAATTCCAACCTCTTCACTACCGTTTTGTTCTTTCTCATATATTGTAAACCGATCCCTCCAAAAGGCATCGGCATGGAAACGCGAGGGAGAATCGCACAATTGACGTCACAAAAAATCGATATATGTGGCGCGTGGTGTTTATCGGTGGCAGGGACATGGCGCAGTTCCTTTCCATAGTTTTACCCACTTGTCGAAGCTCACTATGAATAAACCATAGCAGGAGAGGACAATACACAACAGATAAGAAATATTGAAATTTTGATAGATACAGCTCTTCCACATATACCAGCAAGTAAGCGCTTGATCAAGTAACCACGCCACCGAAACAGTTCTGGAGTAAACTACATGGACGAGCTCTCCCGATAACTTTACCACCAAAAAATATCGAGGGGAAATAAATACAGCCACCACTATAATTATTTCTCTTCAAGTAGGCTGATGTACAACAAAGTCGTGTAGCTGAACGATAAAACCATGTCGGCAAGCTAGAGCTCTTAATAAGAGGTCTAAATGATTGTTCTCCCTAAACATCGCTTTCTAAAAGGTTAGGATTCGACTCACAATTTTGCAGTTAAATTACCCTAAGAAGCGGATAGAATTACCCCAAATTAGTGGGTAAACATTTCGAGAAGCATATTTTCGGGACATTTTTAGGCATATTTTTCGAGGAGGCAGAGAACTACGTAAACTGGGTATCACTTAAATAAAGCCCTAACACAGAACCCAAGCTCACAATAGAAAAAATAAACAAAAAAAGATGCGCAAAATGAAGTGAAATTTAAGATGAAATCAAACCTCGTGTTCTTATGTTCCCTGACGAAATGATCAAACAGATGCATCCGAACTGTGCATCGATAGCGACAACGCTTACAGTGGTAAGGAGCATCATTCGGCTCATGAGTCATAAGATGGGTGCGCAATGCATTAGCAGCTCCAACCTTAACAAAGCAGCTATAACGAAAATCCATATTAGCTCAAGACTTGCGTACACTTACGTCAGAACGCACGTCCCTCTCACAAATAGCGCATGTAGCGCGATTCACAGCCTGAGGCTGCCGTGAATGGCATCGCGTGTAGTGCACCTGGAAGGACCATTTGACAAAAAAAATCAATTTCACCTGGATATTTCCTTTAACAACAAGAATTAAATAAGAAATGAGAATTCAAACAAAAAAGAGACAATGAATACTCTGTTGGAGTACCTGCATCAAATATGGCGTATGAAATCGAGCCGTACAGCTTGGGCAAGTCGATAAGATATCGACATCGTTCCTCTTAGATGGCGTGGAGGAAATCGAGTGACTATCACTAAGCATGGGAAGTGATGGCGTCTTCGGATCATATTCCTTCCAAGTTGCAATGTGCGCCCAAAGATGGCAGACGAATGATACGTTACCAGTAATCACACGTTTACAACTCGGGTATTGACACTGAAATGTTAAGAGATCGAACAAAATGTCCAGGTACCGTCCGTTACAATAAAACCAAAAATTATAATTAGGCGTGCACTGTGTGTTCACAGCCATCCTGCCATTTTCGAACCTCTCATAACTTTATGACTGAAATTTTGTATCGCGAGATTGAGATCGGAGAAATTGTATGTTGGCATCATTGAGTATTCAACCAGCTAAATTTCACGATGCCTTTCATACTCCTCATTTAGTCATCACATTTACCTTCGAGACTCTTAATTAATATCAATGAGGGTATTTACAAATCTAATGTTGAATGTTCAGGACCATCGCAATTTTATGTGCCCGAAGGGGGGGGGGGGGG